GAAGCTGTTGCACAAATATCACCGCACAAAACAACCAATACGAGATCTGCAAGATGGAACCCAAGACCACAAGTAACTAGTCATGTTGAATATAGACGATTCAACTGTACTCAGTACGCAGAAGCTGCGTTTCCTTCTTGGCCGCCTCCTGTGGGTGTGGGTCTACCGTGGTCTAGCGACCTGGCTTTGTACCATTGCAAGCGGCAGCTCACCTTCTGTCCACCACCCGACCTCAGCAATGTGGAACGTGGCACATATTCGAAGACACCTCTCGTATGCTTGGGAGTGCTAGAGAAGTGTGACGGGGGGACGCTGCGGAAACAAACATCGCGCAATCTTGTCGACCGCCGAATCAAAAAGACCTGCAGTGTTTCGTGCCTGTAATGAAAGCGCAGACATGAGCAAAAAGGAGAGGTGTATTCGTTTCACTGAAAGCTGCAGCACAATAGGAGCTGTGACACCGGCTCATCACCACAAAGGCAGCTCCTGTTCGCGAACCAGGTGCGCGTGGAACGACCAGCATCATGGCGAAATAATCTTGCACAACGTCGGACAAGCGCCTCAACTCTGCGCAACAAGCAAACGCGCGGAACACTGGAAACCGTTAGACTGGCACGCCGTCACGTTAACTCCCATCCGGACGGGCAGAAAGGACGATTCAACTTTATGCATCAGCGAAGTGCCCCCCAACAAGCTAGCTACAAACATACTATTCCACCAGAGACGAAACAGCGCGAATACCTTCTTCGATTATTGGTGCACCTAGCAATACTATCGCAACGGGAGTGCCAATTTCGAATCGTCGTACGCCTGTGGCCCACGTTAAGTCCGTAGCACGTCTGCTGCATAGTCTGTTTGCAGGCACCAAATCCTTCCTTTTCAGCCTCCACCGTGTACCATTTCCATGTATGACGCACTATCTGGAAAGGCAACCGTGCAGGCTCGAGCGGTCACTGCAGAGCACGAATCAAGCAGATTGCGTCGGTGGTAGAGTGACTCATGGCACTTCAACTATCAACTCTGCGAACACCACTAGATTGCCATTGAGTCATGCCGTGACCAAGCATAAATGATTTGCATCAGCGCCAAACGTTCATCTCGCTGCGTCTTATGTAGTGCGAGGACACGCCGCTCAATTGTATCTATTGCTCGAAGGGCGCAGGAGAAGTTCTATATCCAAGTGTCTAAACCACTTCTTTAATCAAGAGCGCCCCCAAGTCATTTTGCCTCTCATACCAGTCAGAAATAAGAAATGCGAGTTTCGTGAATGACAATTTGTAAAGAAGTCTTGCTGGACTAACTGCTATCGAAACCGTCCACTGCCTGCAGTGCTGTTGCACCGTAGACGCACTTACACGCGGACAGCCAACCAAGAGAGTTGTTATCCCTTTTGCAATAAGTCTGAATCCTGTACTACTGGCTTTGTGCAAAAAATGCCATACCAGAAGCATCGCACCCCTATCATCCTTTCACTACTCATCGTCATCGACTTGTGCTTCGGCTATTCCACAAGCTTGGGAAAAGATGATTCAAAGCTTGCGTTTGCCTGTAATTCCAAGGCTTAATGGTTCTGCGCCTTTGGCTTGTCGCACACTGCCCGGAAACGACGGTGCATATCAATATTCCGCACCTGTCAATGTGCTGTAAAAAGTACTCGTGGCCGCTATTCAACTTGGGCGTACTGTGCAAATTGTTGTTTCAAAAACAGCTCTAAGATAATACGACGCACCTTCTGTGCATCATATGCTTGGTGCAACTGCCCACTGAATCCATATAAATCCATTGAAAGATAAAGCCTGCTAACCTTTACTGAGTGGGCGGATAGTAATTCTGGCTCAGAGTAATTCTACACACTGGTAGAGCTGCAGGTGCAAAACACCCTCTGCAAAGTTCTCGGTGCCCCTGGTCAGGCTTCGAATTTGAAAGCAAGGGGAAGTGTACGTGGTCATGCTTCGTCCATTTCACCCAAGAGTGCTAGGAGCGCGAACAGGATGCGTTAGACGGATTTAGTCAACTAGTGATCATTGCATTACCTTCCTAGCTGCCGCTATGCTCCTTTGCAGATGTGGGCCGAGGGACTGCCTTGGCGTATAAGCACGATATCTAACCACAGTAAGATGTGATTTTCTACCAAAACGCGAGGCAAAGTTTCACCTAAAACGTGACCTGCAGAGCGCCAGACGATGTTGGGTTGCACCTCTCCAGTTTCACTGTCAGTTTGGGCTGGAAAGACCCTGTTCCAAATTTTTCGCACCTGCCACTTCTGCCCGGCAGACGGACCACCTTTGGGGATACACAGGGTGTTACGTTTTAGTGTAGGCGCCTTGCAGCGTGCAACCCTTATCTCCATAAGCCTTATTTCGCACACGTACTCTCAACATGGACTCCACCGAGATTCCCAGGAAATATTCGTCGTCCTTCGTTTTAACGGCAGCAACGGGGACTGCGCCAAGGCCATGCAGCACGATCTCGGGGGGCGGACGACAAAATGTTTTCCAGAGCACGTTCTATTGTGGTTCCCTACATAAGTCAATCATCCTGAAAAATCTTTGGACACACTCTCTAAATCCGAATTGAAAGTACTCTGCCGCCGAAGCCTAGTCCGCATGCGGGACCTTGGCAGTGTTAGCCAGTCTCCAACCTTCACCCTGGCGAGTGAGGAGTTGCTGGCTGCGTGATGGTGCTTGTCTAACGGGCATAAGGAAAGTGCCGCTGCAAAACGAATGCAGTGTACTGGTGCCAGATACAAAACTTGCCACAACAACCGCATTTCATAATTGTGTGGCATGCAGTGCCATGAAACTTAGTTTGATGCACATGTATCCGCTTTAAGTTAAGTCGGAGCCCACCTCCTGAATCATTATCGATGCCATGAGCTACTCAGGAGAGCATGGAATGCTTTGGATGGCAACTCAACTTTTACAAGAAGCTTGAGCATGAGTTGCCTTTTCACGTTTGGCATTGAACAGCACTGGCGTATCTGTAATGCCTGAATGCCACGCTACCTTCGCTCGTGTATCTCATCTCCATTTGTTGCTTTCCCGCCGCAGAACATCACCCTACCGTGCTCTACAGAGAATTGAGGTTTTCCGAAGACCTGCATGAGCTTTGCAGCGTGCTGAAGTTGGCGCATGGCCAACATGTTACTTCAGCATGCAAACGAAACTGTTTAGTGCCGTGGCCTCCTCAGCGTCATTGTCGTTAGTCTCTTGCACATATGGACAATGTTCACGACACATCGACCGCCAAGAGAGGCCGTCCTAAAAGCAGGCCAGCAAATAAGTACTTCACCATCATTCTGTGGAAAGCGAGCGAGGCAACCCTACACTGAGCACCTACATGGAAAACTACTACGCCCTGTACGCGAAACAGAAGCTGGTGCAAACGAAACAGAAGCTGGTGCGAACGAGGGAAATTCATTCCATCTTGTGCACGTTCAGCCGCCAGATTATTAAGCCTCCCCGCGTCTCCACTTCAGTGCAACTATGCAATTAAAAATACAATTCTGTAACAGTCGTCGTTTGTCTCTTGCAAAATACCCGCCAGACGTCAGAAGGATGCGCACTTCCTGAGTTGAAAAAACGCTTGAGTAAGTAGGGTCCAGAACTTGAACTTGACAAGTTGAGAAGCAAACTGAAGCTCCTATGTAAAACTGAACTTCCTATGATGTATGCAAACAAACATACACTCCACATTGTACTGTCAAATTCAAAAAATATACAATGCTGTTTGTTGTATATCTGCTTTGCAGCCTGCCAGGTAACCCAGAATTTGATGCACCTCAAGCAAGAGCTGCCGCCGCCAAGCAACTGTTGCATCGACTACACTTTAACGACATCGCCTGTTGCCTACTCAGCCTGGGCTACCTGCGCTTTGCAGATAGAAACAGTCCTACTCAGCCCCCTCCATGCCGCACAACCTGGAGTATGCAATAAACATATACGCGAACAGGAACGCCACTTCCTGAAGGTGCGCAGGAAATCCAAAGCATTTAATGCCATTTCGCGCCAGGCAATCGCCAAAGGTGCTTTACTTTGGTCGTGACTCTTGTCATAAGAATCTTACTGTTACGTGAACTCCCCCGTGGTCAAAAGTTGCTGAAAAAAAGCTGCAAACAGAAACCTACGTTTGCTGCACGAATAAACCGTGCACGAAAATCAACATGATATATGAAGAGAAGAAACGTTTTCGGAAAAGTAGGCGTCTCAAACTTTCACGCTACGGGTTGATAAGAAAACTCTACACCGTATGCCGTCAGAAGACGATACAGTGCTTGCCATCATGCAGGATTCCTCTAGTGCACCCTCAATAATAATGCTTTGTGATCAACTCACAAGCGCGACATCTCAGGCGGCCCTGCTTGCGCCAGTCCCAATTCGTTTAGAATGCAGGGACGGTCAGCACTGCCAATTTCCAATAATCACAGTTCCTTTCCCATGCTGACAACTTGCCTGAACGAACAGTTAAACGCATTTTTTTCTCCTCTTGCATGCTTGTACATCACAGGAGTGCGAGCCCCAGCCGCATTTAAAGGAAACTTCGCCGTTGATGTAGCAACGGGAGTTATGCACCAGGCTAAACGGTCATACAATCCCAGTGTTTTGTGCAAACATGCGTCTTTTAGATCATGCTCCTTCATGCACTCTGTCTGACAATTGTAGATATGATGCCCTCTGTGCGTCAAAGCCTGCTTGGACGTACAGTTGCCGCAAAAATACGTCCTACGTGTCTGCGCGCAGGTCTTCTTCGGAGAGCATGCACAAACAGCAAAGCCTAGCAAAAATGCCGCAACATACAGTCCCTGTGCCCACATATTGGAGATGCCACTAGGAAAGGAGGGAAGTTAATAGATGCATACGCCAGAAAAAAGACGCCAACGCAGATACTTCCACTTAAACCGCGAGATGACCCGCCGGCATCACAATATATAACCTCTGTGCTTGCACATGCTTCACCCAACGGACTCTCTGGATTACCAGTGAGTATACGCTGTGCGCAACAGACTACTGCTGGTGTTCAAGCTACAATTAAGCGGTCATGCTGAATGCTATCAAATGCACCCCACAGAAAAAAAAACAGAAGTGACCTCGCAGCCCCCGCAACAATTTCATCGTACTGGTCTGACCAGCAATCTCTACGCTGAGCAACCGCCTGCATGCAATCTAAACACAAGGCCAACACAGCAGTTAGACTCGGTGATTTCAGTACGGCTTTCTACCGCGCCGAAGACAACATTGTACCCCGCGCGTCAGCAGTGATTGCCTGCATGCATCAACAGAACTGTCGGTGCAGGGCTGAGATGACTATATTCCTAAACGTCTCGAACGACACCAGAACATCACTCG